TCATCTTATTCACTGTGTTCTCAGCTGAAACAAATATAGGAAGTATAGCTGAAAACTTAACTTGAACACAGATTTATTGATTTAAGAATTGAACTTGGTATTTCTAGCATTTTAGAGTTTGAACTTTGTTCAGCACCTGTTAAACCTTGAGAGACTTGAAGTGAGGGCTGCTAACTTGGAGCCGTGAAGTGATATGGAATGAAGGTATGTAGGACAGGAAGCTTAGACTATAAAGTTTTGTTCTTCACATGGTTTGTGGAGCAGGCTGGGAGATCCAGTGTGGGGTTTTTTCCTGCATTACTGATCAAACATGTACTATTCTGTCCTGCATTTCTCTGTTTTATGAAGCAGGTGAACACTTACAGGGGCATATGCAAAAAACTTCAGTCAACAAAAGATGGAATTCCGAAGTGACTTTAACCTATAGCTTTGGGAGTATGATTGACAGTTCAGCATACAAAGCTCTAATGCTGATTAAAAACTAATCTTGATATTTTTAGAATTATCTGTCTAAATTTGAACTAATTCTCATACAAAACAAAAAAAAAGAAAAAAATATTTTTCAAAGTAATAATATTTGACATTAAGAACCAGTCATGTAGTCTTAACTTGATCTTTTCTTTTTTTTTTTCTCTAATAGGTAAAATGAAAGGACTTGCGTTTGTTCAGGATCCTGATGGCTACTGGATTGAAATTTTGAATCCTAACCACATGGTGACTCTCACTTAATTCTAATGAAGTATAGGATATGAGATGCCCACCTGCCTTTCCCTGGTGAAAATCTGTAACAGTATTGGCAAAATTCTTGTTTAATAGGATTCAGTCATGTTCAGAGTCTCCTCTAAAACTATCCCCTGGGACTTGACTGTACTTGGATTCCTTTTTTTTCTTGTGATGCCACCACAATTTGTTTCCATGTAGGAATACTGAACCATTTTCTGGAAGAGCACTTACAGATTCTCCTCTTGAACATTGATTATGTTATTATTTCACTAAACACTGTCAAAAGACGTTGACTGGAAACTCACTGCATCCCACACTGCTTAGATTTAAACTAACAACAAAAAGTCCCATGTTACTATTCATGAGCTTCAACAAGAAAGAAAAAAAGAATATTTTTGAAGTAAAAAGATCCTGAAGACTTCATGCCCTATCATGTATACTAGAAAATAAAATGTCAGATGAACTTTGACATGAGTAGTAGCATGTTTATCGAAGTCCTAATCTTACTTACATTATACCAGGCAAACCTCTTTAAGGAGCAGCCTTAAACAGTCTTGAAACAAAAAACTTTGTGGAGGCAATCAGTCAGTCCAGCAGAAAGAATTCAGTCTTGCAGCTCCTGACTGCTGATTTACAGCCAAGATAAGAGGTCTCATAGCTGCTAACTCACAGTGACCCTTCTTGTCTCTTTCAACACTATGAAGAACTTGCTCATAATTTTTGTTTCAATGCAAGGCTGGGGCTGTATGCTCTTCAATGCTCTGTACATTCTGCACTGGGAAATTAATAAAAATAGTATCTGAAACAACAGTTTCCTAGTACTAGACTTTGTGATCTAACCTCTCAAAATGAGTGATGGTACCGTACATACCTGTAAACAGCAGGAAAACATGTAACATTTACATGTGTTATATACAAATTGTTTGATTTTATGCTGTTCCACATCTTATAAACAGTGTAAAAGTGAGGAGAGTTCTTGAAATCCTGTTCTTCCAACAAGGAAAAAAAAGCCTCTGCCTTATCTTATTTTGGTTTGAATAGCACTTAACTCCTTCAGTTATGTGACTATTGATAGTGTAATGGCATTGCAATTCACCTCTCAGTAAAGCAATGGGGGAAACTACAAAATAATTTTAAAGCACTGTGACCAGTTGCTTTGCTGATTGTTGAATTCTGGATGACTGAAAGGCGGTTTGGTTTATGGATTCTTTTTTGAGAAGAAATCTGGTGATAAAAGAACATGAATTGGGAGTAACATTGAAGAAGATAAATGTGTGACTTGTTTAGCAGGATGTTTCAGTAACCTAATGTAGAGAGTTGATAATAATTTTCAATAACTCCCTAGCTTATAAGTTAAAACAAATATAGAAAGTATTGCATTTGATTTCTGCTATATTAACGTAGATGTTAATGACTTAAATGCTAAGTGTTGCTGTCCTGTCTCCTTCTCTGAAACATCTTTAATTTCATCTACCTCGTCTTAACAAGTAGCATGTATAAACTCAGGAGTTTTACAGAACTCTACATGAAAAATCAATTACGAAATCTAGTCCAAGATAAATTTTTTACCCTTGGAAATGAGTAAAATAGATACGCTTCTTCTGAATCTGAGGTGTTGGGAAAAGGAACGTTAAAATTATTGCTCTGCCTTATACCCCCTGTGGATGTGCAAGCAATCATAAATTCATTAGAAGGTAGACATAGCAACTCAAAAGATATTTTTTTCCGTTTTCTGTTTTATGAACTAACCCTGATACTTTAAGTTGTCCTTTGTATGGTATTTTCTGTCTAGCCTCTTACAGTATCTAGATACTGTGCTTCAGGTGGTGCTTTATCAGTGCCATTTATATACGGTAGATTCTTTTCCCTTTTTGAGTATTTGCCAAGTTGCCTTTTTCTGTGCCAATAAACACTGTTGGTTCACAGTTGCATTCTCTATTTCTGCCCTCTTATAGTTACAGAATTAATACTTAGCCTGTTCCCTCTTTTGCTCCTTGTGCAGTTGATTATTCTCCTGCAAGTTAAATCACTTTGATAGCAACAATAATGTTTGGAGTGAGTGAGATCTCCCAAGTGAGCTGTTGTAATAGCTGTAGGATCACCAATGATCTTAGTCTTCTTCCTCCCAAATACAGAGGTTTTGACATTGTACTCCCTGCCCCAAGCAGGCTAATTCAGCTTAAGCAAGTGACAAAGGTTTTCTTGAATGCTCAGTTAGTTTTATGCCAAGTTTATTAAGCAGGAATGAGGAGCCAGTTTAATGCTCCTTGGTTTCCCAAATGAGTACAGCTGATCATTCTAGCAGAAAGTTGGATGAGCTCAACTAAATCATGAAACCTCACCCTACTTTAAAAAAAGGTACACAATATTTCAAAATACAGCAGCAATTCAGAGGGCTCTTTATTCTGAAGCCTATTGTAGTGTAACTGTAGTATGGTATCTTCTGAAGTTAGTAGGATGAGTATAGTGCCGAGAAGCATCAGAGCTGCGGCAATGAGACAGAGCACTTGGTTGATTGCAGCTTATATAGGTTTTGATGGCTAAACTGTGTTTTTCATACACATCTGCTGCTGGTGTTCTGAAGTAAGAACTTAAGTAAAAGAACTTAAACAGGTGCTAATTGCAGTTCCTCACCATTCAGAGTGTCTCAGATTGTGTGAATAGAAAAACTATTTTAGACTAATAGTTTGACAAGTCCACTTAGACTAAGTTTTATTTTAGTCAATACAGGTAGATCTGACCAAGGCATTGGCTGAGAAAATCTCAAAAGTTTTACAAGCATGTCACTTGGTGGTCTATATTTTAGCAACATGCAGTGTCTCATTCAGTCTCGTTTCACTACACTTCAAAATACAGGTGTGACTGGAAAAGCTATTGACCCAATTGTATGGAATCCAGTAATTACTACATGAGTGGGAGCAGGCTATGCCAAAGCTTCTTGCTTAGTAATCACATAAAAGTTACTCTAAGCATGTTTGTTAATCTTGGAATGACCTTTGTTTTTTTTTATATGCTTGATAAAGTGCAGACATAATAGATAATGAAGTAATAAAGAGGAAACTAATAAAAAACACTGGCATCTACAAACTCATTACAGCAACATCATGAAGGGGACAAGGTATGGGTTTGTTTTTTTCTAAAAAAAAGTTACTGCTGCTTGCCATACTGAAAGCTAATTAAAACCAGTATTCTCAGTTATAAAATCCAAGAATAAACTATTAAAGATAAACACTTGATGCTTCTTTTAACATGCAACAATATTAAAATATTTTAGATGTAGAAAACTTTTGAAATTATTTGATGTTCTCACTGTTCGCAGACTGTCATTTTTACTTCTTCCAAGTAAGACTTCTTTTCTGCTAAATAAAGCATGGAATTAAATAGCATATAATGCTTTGCCTCTTGGAGGGCCTAAATTTAGCTTTGTGCAGTACAGTAGAAGTGAATCTCATTGTTATGCAGAGACGAGCCCACATTTTGTGGGGGAGGTTCTCATGACGCAGGAAAGCAGAACTCATACTGAATGAAAAGAGGCAGGTAAGCACACGGTTATGAAAGAAACATGTCCATCCTTGGGATTTTTTCAAGACTTGGTCACATAAAGCATAAGTCACCCTGATCTAGTCTTAACTTTGAGCAGGGGACTGACCTACAGACTGCTTGGTTTGCTCCAAGGACCGCTCCTCAGATGGATGGAGCTATACCTGGCACCATCTCTCTGGTGACCAGTGGTAGGACCGAAGGGAATGAATGACATGAAGCTGCGTCAGGGAAGGTTTAGGCTGTATATTAAGAAAAGGTTTTTCTCCCAGAAGGTGGTTGGGCACCAGAACAGGCTCCCCAGGGAAGTGGTCACAGCACCAAGCCTGAGAGTTCAAGAAGCATTTACAGAACGCTGTCAGGCACATGGTGTCATTCCTGGGGTGTCCTGCGCGGGGCCAGGAGTTGGACTCGATGATCCTCGTAGGTCCCTTCCAACTCGGCATATTCAGTGATTCTGTGTATTTTGAACGTAGCCACGGAACAGCAGGTGAAGCCGACAGGGAAGGCTGAGCACCAGTCGCTATTTCACAAGGCTTGGGCACCGCAGGCCCGCTGCCCGGACGAGCGCACAGGCCCCGCCGGCGCCGCCCCCGCCCCGCGGCCGCCCCAGGAACGGGCGGCGCGGCCTCGGCGCTGCCGCTCCTGCTCCTGCTCCTGCTCCTGCTCCTGCTCCTGCTCCGCCGGCGCGACCCGCGCGGGGCGCTGCGTCACGCGCAGCCTGCTGCTCTGCCCCGGTGACGTCAGCGCGCCGCCGGGTGACGCAGCGACGGCGGCGGGGCGGGGGGTGAGGCCTCGGCGCGGCGGGGCCGGTGAGTCCCGCGGGAGGGGCGCGGGCGGGCGCGGCGGCCGCGTCACCCCCGGGCCGAGCGGGGTTCCGAGGCCGCTCGGGCTGTGCGCTCCGGCCCCTCGGCGGGCAGAGGTGCTGCCGCTGGCGGCTCCCGCCGGACGCGGGCAGGGCCACCCGGGAGCGGGCCGAGGAAGCGCCGCCGCCCGGGGAAGGCGCCGGACGCGTTTGGCGGCCAGGCGATTTGACCTGGAGCGCCTTCCCGCGGAGGCGAGGGAGGGGGCGGCCGGGCGGGCCGGGGTCACCTTCCCTGGCGCCCCCGGAGCTGGGGCTCGGCGGTGGCCCGGGCTCTTCGGGCGCGACCTTGGGCGCGTCGCCGGCTCCGGCCGCCCTCTGCTCCGCGCCTGCCTCGCCCGCCGCCCCCTGCTCCTGTCCCCCTGGCTGGTTTGCCCCCTGGCTGGCTTCTCAAGGCCCTGTTGCAGCTGCCTTATTTGAATTTTCTTTTGCTATAACGATTAGTTTAGTATTTTGATGCTCTTATGGTACACCGTTTTCCCTGGTCCTTCTGGTGTCGGAGTAGTTAACCAGTTTCGCGCTGCTGTGATTCACTGAAATTACTTTAGATTTACAAGACGTATTATCAGACTTTAAAAAAAAATAAGTTGATGCTAACTTGTTAGCAATCTGCTGGTGGTCTCACTTGCCTAGCAATGCTGTTCGCTCTTGCTTTTAAAGTGCAGCACGCAGACGTAGCTGTGTTTGGCATGTCTTCTGTTACAAATCTGTAAATCAGATACTTGAAATATACTGTTCTTTTTGAATGTTTACTCATATTTAAGCAAAAAAACCCAAGAATTTTTATGAATGGCTTTTGAATATATTTTGATAATAGAGGCCAAATTGATAACATACATTACTGGTAGGGACAAATATTTACACTTTACATTTTGTTCCTCAAAACCGGGAGAGTTTCTTTGTCAAATGCCTGGTTTTGATTTGCAGGATTAAGGTGTGGTTAGTTTCCAGTTAATGAGACTACTGAAGAATATTTTTTTCTACATTCTCCTCCCTTGTTCTCTTAAGCATATATTCTAAAAAAGATTAGAGTGGCTCTTAGGAGAGAATTTGTAGATCAAGGTATCATCTCTTTAACAAATTAAATCCAGTTAATTTTTCCTGCTGGCAGGTATGATGGGAAGGATAACAATAATTTATACTTGTCGAGAGAGACTCATTATGTTGGTTGTGTATTTAAACAAATAAAGCCTCTATATTTCTGTATTTCCTCACCCTGCAATTTTGTTTTGTTTTCCTGTTTATAAAATTAAAGGCTTGCACAGGAGAAAGATCTGCAACTGCCTTAAGTGTTGTAAAAAAACCAACCACTAAAGCCAAACAGAACCCCCAAAACCTTCAGCTAGGCAAGAACACTTGAAGAGAACTGGCTGTGTAGGGAATAAAGCATGTGTGATAGAGTTGGTATAGATCCGGTTGAATTAGGACCCCTATATGTGAAAACAGTATCTTCAGGGACATTGATGCTGTGGCAGGAAAGTCAGGATGAAATTTTTGTGACTTATCCTGAACAAATGAATGGCGGTATGTTACCATCTTCTTTGACGATTAAGAATGTGAACGGTCAAAATTCAGTGATGATGACTCAAAAAAGAAATTTCGTTGCTATATTCTAATGTTATTAGAAGTTTTCCCATAAAATTGACATGTTTTTAAAGAATTAATTTCCACAAAAATTTGATTTGAGAAGTACACATCTCGCTTTTTTTTGTCATAATGCTCAGTGCTCCCAGTTTCTGATGGTATGTATTTCGTGCATTGTTTCAGGAAATGCTACAGTTGTTGCTGTGCAGCTGCATGTTGCTGAATAGCGTTTCTATGAGCTTGCTGTTCAATCTGTCTGTTGTTCAGAATGGCGAAGAACCCTAATTTTCAGGAAGCTGGTAATGTGCCTACAGGCTACGTTCACTGTAGATCTTCAGAGAGTTTTGCTGGTGAGTGGACCCATGTATTTTCTTGAGAATTTTAACTTAGTGGTTTAGTTGTATGCCATTTTAACCAGGTTAATTTATATGTGTGTTAATATATAATCTCCGCTTAGTATATTCTTTTTTGTACCAAGCTAAACTTACTCCTGCTCTTCTGTCACAGGGATACGTCTTAGACCAGAACTTGGAACCTTAGCGCTACAGCACTTAAATGACGGGAGTGTGTTTGCAGATAAGCAGTGCATAACTTCCCATATGCTTTAAGTCAAAACATATTTTAGTACTAAATTGTTGTTTAGAATGCTGTCATTGGATGATGTGGTTAGTTACCATCAATGCTACCATCTGCTTTTCTTTTAATCCTTTCACAGCAGAAGGTTTGGAGATGAGACTTGAAAGTTTTGTGAATTTCATTTTCTTGAGCTTTCATATTCTATATTTATAAAGTCAGATTCGTTATGTTGTTATTATTAATGGCTACTAAGTATCAGAACATGCTTTCATTTTTTTTCCCTGTTAAAATTTTCGCTCATAGTCAATTTTGTTATTGATACTTAGAAGTGCAAAGGAGCTGCTGTAGCAAGGGTTCTGACAGAATCAAAGTATTTACTCGGGTTATACCCTATGAATGTTGAAATATTTACTAAAAATTCCTATTTCCTGAGATATTAGTTTACTGTACCTGAACTTAGGAGAACAAAATATTTTTTTATAAAAAGACATATGCGTGTTCATTAAAAATACAAACCATATAATTTGAAACAGTGGTATGTTTGTACAGTAGTCTTACTGTCACACCTATCATATTCTGGGAGTCTACAGTAATAGAAATTGAAACATAAAGTAATATTTTGCTGGAATATATTTACAGTACAGCAAATTATTTTATGAAGTAATGAATTACAAAAAAATTTAATACTACTCAAATGCCTTCTGATCAACTGAGAACTAATTCCTATTTCTAGATAAAATAGTACTGTAAGAGAATTACTTTTAAGAAAATTCCCTTTGTGCAAGTCTGACAAAAATACTGTCTTGCTAGGTACAAACTAGATGATGAAGGAATTAAGCATTTCAAGGATATGAAGTTATTTGCTCAGTTATATTCTAGACTTATTTTATAAAGTTTTTAATTCCAGCAGTAGTCTATTTGCTTGCATTTATTTCTAAAGTTTTGATAGAGTTATCTGTTATATAAATGTTCTTAGCTCATTTTAAATGACTTTTTTTTTAAAAAGTATTCATGATAAATTTCTTGTATTCTTTTTTCTGTGCCTGCTATAAAAACAACTCTTCCATGTCTCATTGGAACAGCCCTGCTTTTCAGAGGATTCTTTAGAGTTAGCCTAAATGAGGGAGGGAAGTGACTGAGTATCAGTCTTCATTGCAGCTCTGGTTTGAGAGTTGTTTAGTAAGGATGTCGTTGGTGTTCTGCCGTTGTTGCTGCAGTTTCTAGATCGTGTTTCTCTGTGTCATAACGTGTTACAGATTACTGTAATAGAAATATAGCAAACCGAAAGCTGGGGGGCTGTTGTTTTTCTAGCCATGACACACATTGTGTGATATAGCACGCTGCCTTATGTAATAAATACTAGGCTGCATTTTTCACATGCTCTCTGTTGAAGATGGACACCAAGCAGCACATCTTTCAGCGAGGTCTTAGAAGTGGTTTGTAGGCCTTTGGACTTAACAAATGCCTTTCCCAATTTTGCAGTTTTAAGGGTGCCTCAAATCCACTGAGAAGACTGTTTTGCTTGTTTATTTCTGTGGTGTGAACAAGGCTGCGTGACTCCTGAAGCTCTGAGTACCTCCTGGAAATAGGTTATGGTGCTGGCAGGAGGCTTGTAAATGCTTGGTGTTTTATTCTGAAGTTGGTTACCTGTTCTTTGGCTACCAGGATGAGTAAACACCTGTATCCTCTGAAAGGTTGATGTTTGATGACAGAAGATGCCGGAGGGACCTTCAGGAAGGGTTTCACCCAAACTCCTAGCAGGATTTGTCTTTTTTTATCATAAATAAAACTTCTGAATTACAACTAGAAAAACACATGTTTAGCTATACAGGGAAGTTGTGAGCTCATAGTGACTTGCCACAACTAAAGAGGTTATTATGTTTTACTTCCTCAAATAAGAAGTGTGCAGATCACCTCAAGGGTTGACTAAATTCATACCAATAATTAATCCAGTCTGAGAAGATCTGAAGTAATGTATTATTTAACTCTGTATTTTGAAGACGGGACTGTCTCACTGGGCTGCTTTGTATGAAAAATCCACAATACAGACAAAACTTGCATTGGAAATCTGTGGTAGTAAACAAATGAGTTTGTTGAATACTTCTTCAGTGTATTAGTATTACCCATAGAATGCATATAAGGCATGAATATAGTTTCATAAAAGTGATACATTTCCAGCACTTTGGGTCCTTCAAGCATTTGAAAGGCTCCTCAGCTAGAGGCTTGTAGCCATGATTCGAGTCCTGTATTCCCTGTGATCGGCATGTTCCTGTTTGAAACTGACAGTTTAGAATAGTACACGGTACCAGCAATTCGAAGAACATTAAACATCAGAACAGATTTGTCTTGCTGCTTACACACGGCGATTTCTAAATTTCTGCTTTCATTGCTTGCTGTCGTTCAGGGTCTTGGTGTTCATAAGGACTGGCATCATTGGCTTACTAGCAAATGTCCCCACTTAAGACTTTGCCCTCTTCTGTGCACTGACTCTTGTTAAACGAGAGAGGTTTATGTGTCCTTGAGAGGGAAGTATGCTTTTGATTTTATTTGTTTATTTAACCTGAAATAGAAACAATTTCCCCTGAACTTTTCACCCTATTGGCACGTGAAACATCCACAGCTACTTAGTAGCAAAGTTAGTATGCAGCTGGTGGCATTTTCTTGTCTTCACCACTTTTACAGTCTCTTGGTTTTATTCAGACAGTACGTGTTCTTATTTTTTAAAGATAAGAGTGGATTCAGGAAAAAAAGAAGTAAAATGTAGACAAAATGGAATTAAAAATAGGTTTTAAAACCAAAATGTGTCAATGCTTGTACATGTAAGAAGTATCATAAATCAGTTTCCCTATGCAATCAAAGTTGGAACTAACAGAAGAGAGATAGTAGAGTTCCTTGATAGTGTACATGTAATTTGCATTTGTTGGATTGCCTGACTATTGCAAATGAAGATCAACAGCAGCAGATACGGAAGTGTAAGGTACAGAAATCTTCAAGGAGTATTGAGACCTAAGATTTGCAGCTGAGTATTATAGATGCTTTTGTTTCTTCCTCTGGTAATAAAAAGTTTTCTGTTTTGAGAGTGTTAAAATTTTACTGTTGTTTCTAAACTCTCAGATCTTTATGTTGTGATAAATATTATTCCTGAATAAATAGATGCTGCTGGACTGATATGAGTTAAGTTAATCTTGCTTGTTACGAAGTAAATGTTACTGGAAGTGTATTTGGCATAAATTTAAGCTGTTTTAGCTAATTATAAATTAACAAGTGCAAATGGAAGAAATAATCTGTTATTATGAAAACCCATCAAAATTAATTTACTATCATGTCAGAATGGAAGAATGACTGTACAGTATTCTATGTCCCCAAGGTTAGGCCACCTCCCGTATCTTGGCCAGTGTTGCTGGTTCTGTGCTGTAATGGCTACATGGACACACAGCTTCTAATTCAAGTGGCAGAGTCAGCCTGTGGAAAGCTGGAGTTTTGTTCCCATTTGTGCTGTGATCTGTATTGTCAATTCAATATGCTCTATTTTTCTCAAGTTTTATTTTCCATTTCTGTCACTTTTCGTAGTTTAATTTAAAGTTCTTTGAGACCTTATTTCTACAGTATTTGGATTTTGGGTTAAGCATTTCTACATGTTAAAGTGCAAATAATACTTAACCCTATGTGCATATGTTTTCTTTTTTGGGGTAGAAATGCCTGGAAACAGATGCATATTTTCTCATAATATTTTTAAATGGAACATAAAAATGCAGTGGTGTCGTGAATATTTCACTTGAAAGATGAATGTGTTAGCTGTGTGCAAGGTATGGCTTCCTCATTTTTCTTCTTGTGGTACACCATCTTTCTTCAGCACTAGGTATGTGCCCATTTCAAAAAGTGGATAGTTACTGGAGAACAGAGGATTTCTCTGAAAATATGGATGGTTATTATCTGAAACAGCCAACCTCTTTTTAAATAAAAATAAGCCAAAGTGTAACAACAGAAAGCCTCTGTTGCTGAAATAAACCCAAACCAACAAACCTGTGGAATTATTTTGTTTCTTCTTAATTCACAACAGAAGATATGACTAATGCCTTAATCTATATTGTACATTAGTAGAGTGTCTCCTAATTTTAATGACTGAGAGATATTAGGGGCTTTGTTTTCTTAAATATATGAGGGAACAAGAAGGCATCAAGAAAACTGAGTAGGAAGAGTAAGAAAATTGAATTGTTCATTGTAAAGAACAGGCTTTATCTGTTATTTATTAAAAGTTATCGTGATTGTTTATTTTCTCCCAGTTCTGGAAAGTTGATTAGAATCCTGCAAAAATGCTAATGTTTTCACTTGTCACTGATTTTGGTACAGACTTGAGAATTAAGACTGTGCTTAGTTGTTCACATTACTTGTTTATAATTTATGTGCATTTTAATTGAGATAAAGTTACTTTCTAATTGTAACATTATTTAAAATTGTTTAATTCTTAATTCCTTTTGTTGGAGGCTTTTTCTTTAAGTAAATGTATTGACAGAACAACAAGTTGGTGGAATTGTCTGAAATATTTTGTCAGCTGGAATTGTAGATGCAAGCTGCATTGAATCCTGTTGTAGATGAACTTTAATAGAAAATCTCTTGGATTACTTTTTCTTGTAATATATGGTTACTTAGACTGGTCACTCTTCTGTTGTAATTGCGGTTTCATGTTTGCCGTTTTTAATGTTTTTTGCCCTGTATAATACTGGTGGTTTTCTTTTTCCCTTTAGGCTACCAATATCACCATCCCTCCAAGATGAGTAACAGCCATCCACTTCGTCCTTACACAGCTGTGGGTGAGATTGACCACGTTCACATTCTGTCAGAGCACATTGGTGCTCTAATGAACGGGGAGGAATATAGTGACGTTACCTTTATTGTAGAAAAGAAACGTTTTCCAGCACACAGGGTGATCCTGGCTGCTAGATGCCATTATTTCAGGTGAAGTATAGCTTTTTGTCAGGCTTACAGGAAATTTTTATGCAAATAAGATAAACATTGTTTCTCTGTGAACTTTTCAGTATGTAATCATCTGTCCATTGAGTGTGACCTTTTCTGTGTGAATGGTTCCCAGCACATCAAATCATTGTGTCCAAATAGAAAAAGATAAATACCATGTCACAATGTTATTCTTTTGACCTTCATTAAATTGGATTTTGAAGGTAGTTTCACAAATTCAAGAGAAAGATAACTTGAGAACAGACAAGTTCTACTGCAAAATTGTTTTGATTTCTCAGAGTATAAATGGTGTGCCTCTATGGAATATACTCATCTAGAAAGTTTTATTTTAATGCATCGGAATTGAATGTTTAAAGAGATTTGGCTGATACAGATTAGAATATATATTTTAAAACTAGGAGTAATTGAAATGCAACTTTTTTTTTAAGAACTGGGCATTTTTAACTCTAAACGTATTTAGTAGAATTCCTGGTAATTTTCCAGTGAATTTTATCAGAGGGATAAGCTAATAGCTAAACTAAAGTGTGATTGCAAATTTTGTTCAAACTGTCATTGATTTATCTCAAGATTCAGGAGTTGCCATGTGCTGGGTTTAGGAATAGGAGATAAGAATCCTGAGATTTGCTAACACTGCAAACTATTTGTTTCACTTGCTTTATGAAATAATTTTTTTTAAATTTTCTTTCTCACTGATAGTACTGTATTTAAAAAGCAAGGCACAACAACCATATCTCAATTTCTGGTTCACAAACTGTTGTTCTAAGTGGAGCTGCAGGTATTATTGTGTAGGATAAAAACATAATGCATTAGAAGATTATTCTTGGGCAGTTACTTTCAGAGCAGAGCCACACTATAAATACCAAGTATAAGGAGTTTTCTTTTGTAGATTCTTAAACCATGTCCCCTTTGTATTCCCCTTGCTGCAAATAGTTATTCCTTTCTTTTTCTACTTTTTGCATGGGTTTTGTCAGGATATAAATTTCTCAAATTTTATCTTCCTTATAGAGCATTATTGTATGGAGGAATGAGAGAATCTCAGCCTGAAGCAGAAATTCCTCTTCAGGACACCACTGCAGAAGCATTTGCCATGCTGTTGAAATATATTTACACTGGTCGTGCTACACTACGAGATGAGAAAGAGGAGGTTCTTCTAGACTTCTTAAGCCTAGCACATAAATATGGATTCCCAGAACTGGAGGATTCTACATCTGAGTATCTTTGCACAATACTTAATATTCAGAATGTCTGTATGACGTTTGATGTTGCCAGTCTTTATTCTCTTCCCAAATTAACTTTCATGTGCTGTATGTTCATGGATAGAAATGCCCAGGAGGTTCTCTCCAGTGAAGGCTTCCTGTCACTTTCTAAGGTATATGTTTTGTTTGCACTTTCCCCCCCTGAAAAGTTTCATTTTAATCTGTGTATAACTTCATGATAAAATACTAATGCAGGCACCAAATAAAAATTTATTTCTTAGTTAGCAGTTGTCATTTTATACAACTGAAACGGTGACAGCTGGGAATGTTCAAGCCAAGCTGAACTGGAAGTTCTGGTGATCTGTTCTGAATTTTTTAGTTATTTAATTTTGACCAGTCAGTATAGCTAAATATAGAAAATCTGATGGAGTATTCTAAAAGATGGGAGCAGGCAATCTTAATTTGTCTCATTTCGTCTGTTCTTGATATAATAGAATTTGGCTTCTGAATGCCACAGAGGGAATGTAAAGATTTGAAGATGGCAGGAGATACTCCATTCCATTATTTTCTTGATACAGGCTGCATCAGTGATGGGGGATTTTCTACTGTGTAAACTAAAGCATTCTGGAGACTGCTGTGATTTATGTTGCTGATTGTTATCATGTTCTGAAGTTGCAGAATATAGTGGTGTGGTAGGGTGGTTTTGATTTTCTGTGTGTTAGTTCTGTTGTTAGATGCATATTTATGGTTGAGTCAGGCTAGTCTATGAAGTTCAGATTTTCCACTTACTCTGGAGTGGTCTTTGAACTGTTTATAACAGTGACAGAGTGTTTTCAAGTGATGTTCACATGAAGTAGCAGAGGACCTTAAATGATGGTTTCTTTTTTTTTTTTTAAGTGTTTTTAGTGGAAAAACTGTGAACGGTCTCTTCCTTGAATGAGTATGAGACACTTTGGCTCTGCTAACTTACTAGTTGAGAAGGGAAAAATATTTTTTTCTCTACACTCTCATCTGTCCTGTGCAGTGTGTCAGTCTGAACTCTGAGAGCATATTAATGATAAAGAAATGAGGAAACGTCATTCATCAGGAAGAGCATACTTTGGTGTCTTTGGTCTAGCCAGTCCTGGTATATATGAGAGATTTAGCCTTTTTCTATGCAAACTCCTGATTATTCTGCTAGCTAAGTGAAAATCCAAAAGCTGTTTGCTTGTTCTTGTTCTCATTTTGCAGTCAGTGGTTTTTCTGCATGAATAAGAGCCACTGGAGTTTTTACCTACTTATTCTAAGTTTGTACCAAAAGACAAAGAGATTGTGGGGAGATGGAAATCTCGAGTAGTTAGAAATGGTTTAAAAAAGTGATTCCGAGCAACACTTTTTTCTTATCAGTGTTCTTAGAGCAGCTTAAGTTTAAAGGAGTGTTTTGAACTATACTCCCAAATCTGTTATAATATTCCAAAGTAAATTTGAAGTAGTGAGTGGTATTATATTGATTTGAGTAGTTCTCTGCATTTAAATTCTGACTTATTTTTTCTAATAGTTTTGTAATATTACCTATTATTTTTGTGGTGGATTCTGTAATTCTTACATAACTAAAACAAGATACAGTTTCAGGGAGTTACTCTCATGGAGATTATTTTTAATAACTACAAGTTAAAATACCCATTAATTTTTACCTTATTTTAATTTCCCATGATTAAAAAAATAAAACTCAATTTAATTTCTGTTTATTTGTGTGGTTTTATTTTGTTCTTGTTTCTCTTTTCCAGGCTGCTCTTCTAAGTATTGTAGTGAGGGACTCATTTGCAGCTCCTGAGAAGGACATTTTCCAAGCTTTGATGAACTGGTGCAAACATAACCCCAAGGAAAACCATGCTGAAATCATGCAAGCAGTACGTTTGCCACTGATGAGTCTAACTGAACTACTGAATGTTGTGAGACCTTCTGGATTGTTGTCACCTGATGCCATCCTAGATGCCATTAAGATTCGTTCAGAGAGTCGGGACATGGACCTCAACTACAGGGGCATGTTAAGTAAGCATCAAGGTTTTTGTTTGCTTCCTTTTTATTTAGTGACTGTGGTTGTCTGGAGGATATGGTTAGTGTGTGCTTTTGAGTTTTTAACTATTGTTGCACGTTTTAAAGGTCTGACATAAGGAAGTATCTTGTGTACTGTTCATTTCTATTTCTCAGATAATATTAGTCAATGTATTTTCTTTTTATCTCAGATATTGCTCAAATGTTGTAATAAAAATGTATTTTCCTAGAGGGACTGCTATTTTAATAGAAAAGCTTTTACAAAAATATTAAAAGTAAAAATGCATTGGCTCTGAGATATATGATATTTAAATGGTTTTATGTTGATGGTAACTTGTTTTCTACTTCTGTGAAGATTCTCATATTTTCTCCACTACTTATGACTTTTCTCTTACTCTTTACATGCTTGCCCAAGTAGTATAAACAAGTCTTTCAAAACTGTTTTAATGGAAGCCTGAAAAGTGTGAGAAGCTTTGTGCTTGGCTTGGGTCTGTGCTTCTTGTTAATTCAACAGGAGTACCTAGCACTAGAGCTTTAGAAAGGTATTGTTAGCTCTCTAATGTGTGACTTACAGAGAGTATTTAGCCTACAGTAAAGAATAAAGTTAAATGTTCTCTCAGAGCCTACACTGTATTCTCAGTCATACATGATGAGCTCTGAAAATGTTAACTGCATATCCCCTTTGTTCTCCTGTAGAAGTTACAGATATTAATATTTAAAGATATGAGTTTAATACTAGGTTACTGTAAAAGTCTTGTCATGCAAGATATTCTATTGACACTGCAGTAGATAAATTTGAATAAGTCAGATGGTGTTTTCTTTGACTTCTTTTTCTGAATGTTTCTCTCTCCACAATAGCATGCTCCTAATCACAGCTTTTTGGAGAGTGGGATTTCTTTGTTTTTTAAGTACTCGTTCAGGCTCTTGGAACTTTTTCTGTTTGCATAAATGTTGACAACCACTTACAGTTTCATAATTGTGTATTTGATGTAGTAGTGCTACAATACAGTTAAAATTTCAACACTTCAAATTCTTTTCTTTAGATGTCAAACTTAACACCCTGTTGAAATTCATACTTCTATTGCCAATCTGCCTGAAGAGTTCAGGAGCAGCTTTTTATCATTTAGCTTTCAGATCATGTTTTTTTGGGTCTCTCCTCAAAGAAGGTTTTAAAAATGTCTTTTGAAGAGGGTGGTTCATCAGTGTATTGTTTTGTAGCTGCAGGTAAGGATAGTTATCTCCAGTTATCTTGATGGAATATGTTCCTAGCATGCAAGAAGTTTATTACTGCAAAATGATGGCATAAAAAAATTTGCTTTACCGTGTCGGTTCAAAGCCCAAGTAGCCAAAACTTTCCTTTTTCACTCGAGTTCATTTAGCTTTGCAGTGTACTAGAAGGTGATATAGCTATCAAAAGAGCTATACTACCCTGTATACCACCCTGCAAATTCATGATGCATCTTGAATATTTGATCCACATCTTGTATATTTTATGTGATTTTTAGTTTCCTTCCACTTACGGAAAACAAGACAAAACAAACACCCAAAACCAAAGTGAACAGCAATTGAAATCAGAAAAAGAAGACAGAAAGAAAGGGCAAAAAAAAGTGTTAGAGATATGGTGAGAAGCTGATCACAAGGAGAGACTAAACAGACCAAAACTTCAAAGCAAGAAGGAAAGTACTGATTGAGTGAGGAAGGTGCAACAGAATTCCGTAAAATCACAGAGGAGACTGAGAATATAGCTATTACAAGCTAGTAAATTATCACAACTTTATTACCATAAAAGACCTAGGGGGTATTGAAGAAGCTAAATTTCTAAAATACCTTTTTTTTTTTCACTTGAGCATGTGTTTTCGGCCAAGAAAGGACACTAGCAATAAATCTTTGGTCTGACCTAATAGAGGTGATGTTCAGAACACCTAATTTGCAGTATGAGAGTGTAAAAGTTAAACAATTATTTCCTTTTCTTCTTAGTACCAGGGGAAAACATTGCAACAATGAAGTATGGAGCACAGGTTGTAAAAGGGGAGCTGAAGTCTGCTTTATTAGATGGAGATACTCAGAACTACGACTTGGATCATGGCTTCTCTCGACACCCGATCAGTGACGACTGCCGTTCTGGAATTGAAATTAAACTAGGCCAGCCATCAATAATCAACTACATACGGATACTCCTGTGGGACAGAGACAGTCGGTAGGTGCCAAGTTGACATAAAAAGGGAAGGTAATGCATTTTGTACTAATGAAAGTTTACCAAATATGAATTGTTTTAATTGTTTTCTGTTTGCCATTTATCAACTGCTATTGTTTTAGTTTGAAAAACAGTTTTCTAGTTCATTGGAAGAACCCTATTTTTAACATATTTACATTGTAAACATTGGATGAATTTTTTTTCAGGTTTTTTCGATGTCAAAACATAAGAAATGACACACTTTTACAATAAGGTTGGACTCGATCTTTGAGGTCTTTTCCAACCTAAATGATTCTGTGATTCTGTAATTCAGAGATAGTAAAATTTATTTAGAATGTGAATTACCAATAAACTACAGTAGTTATTAGAAGCCACTTCATGGTTTTTAGTTATCTAATTGTTTCAAGTAAATTCTCCTAATTCAGTTCAACTGAAATTTATGTTTCTACTCTATTTCTTTTGGAAAGATAAAAAAATAAAACTCCAAAGGTACAAGGAACTGCTTCATAAAATATTATACTACTTGTCCCAGAAGATCAACCAAATTAATGAACCAATTACCAACCAACTTTATAAAATTTAAAGCAGTATTAGAAATATACTAATAATGAGGAGTTCTCTAGCAATTTCTAGAGAGCTTGTATGACTGGAAAAATGCCCCTCATCTGCAAGGCATTAATTAGCAGCTGCTGAAACTCAGAGAAAAAAATATTCTCTGTGGGACAGCTTAGTACAGAATTATCTGTTGTTTAGTGTCCTGTGCCCTTGATGTGAAATTTTTAGAACAAACCATTGTTGCTGGCAAAATATCAGACAAAATGGACCTCTTCTCTAGAGATTTTTGTCTTCATAAAATACTGAGGGCACAGTGGTTTAGGATCTAGTTTCTGTGTCATCCTCATTTTTTCTTACTTTCTGTGGAAAGTTTGCTACTGGGCTTTCTTTTGCTTCCTATCAGATTCAGTACCGGAATTAACACTGACTGTCCTGTGCAGGGCCAGTAGTTGGACTTTTGTGATCCTAATGGGTCCCTTCTAACTCAGAATATTCTGTGATTCTGTGAATTTTCAGGGTTTTTTCTCTCCAATAGCTCAACTGTCTTAAGATAAATGGAAATGGAGGCATTTGCAGTACTTTGCCCATTTGTGGGCTCCTCAGTGTAAGGTACTGACCTTCTGGAGTGAGTACAGCAGGACACCAAGATGATGAAGGCTTGAGCACATGAGAACCTGCAGTTTTAAGAGGAGCAGGCTTAGAAGGGAGAATTTGTTGCTCTCCTCACCTATTCAGTAGAAAAATGTAGAGAATACAGGGCCAGACTCCACTTACAGCTGTGTGCTGAGAGTGCAGAGAGCAGTGGACACAAGCAAAAAGATAAATTCATGTTAAATAGTAGGAAAAAAATTCATAATGGGGTAGTTGAACTTCGGAAGAGTTTGACCAGAGAAGTTATGAATATTAGCCCTTGGAGGTATTCAGAGTTTTACCAGCCAAGGTCTTAAGGACCTTGCTCTGATATTGTCCTTGCTTTTTCTAGGGATTTTTCAAATCTCTCTACACTCTCTTAGTCTAACAGTTGCCAACCACTTACCTACATCTTTCTTGTGGGATACATAATAATGTACAAAGACATGGTTGCTTCTTCTTGAACATTTTTTTTAAATACTCATTCATTTTAACTCTCTCTGTGAAGCTTTGGTCTACTGGATATTCTTAACAGAACCAAATGTAAGATAACAGGTGTTTTGCACCTCTAGTTTAGAGGTGTTATTAACAGCTGAGTCTTAGATATAAAATTGCTAAGGAGAGTAGCTGTCCAAATTGCCTCTGCTAAAAGATGCTATCTAGCCTCAAAAAAAAAAGGCATATGATAATGTGACTGTATTTTTGAGATAATATTTCTTTGTTTGGTACCTTCAGAAACCAAGAAATAGCATGTTATTTATTGGTTACAAGTTTACATTAATCCAGCAATGATGATGTGAGAATCTCTTAAATTTTCACCACACAGAGGACTGTCAGTAACTTTTGTATCCAAACCTCTCAAACTCTAAAACATTGAAGTCTAGTATGGTCAAATATGCATAGGCTAGTAATAATAATGTTGCTAAAACACGGTGTATTTATATGGGTTGTGAATATTACACATCCGATTGGTGTGAATGTGAAAGCTGATTATGCAATTGACATCTAAAAACCCCTCCAAGTGTGTCAATTGCTATTAACAGCCTCTAACATTTTAAGGATTTTTAAGCAGTACCACTTTAGACACCTACTCTTCTCAGTCCTCAGGAAAATTGGAAATATTAACAAAGGCATTAATGTTTAACAAGAAATGTTTCTGTAGAACTCTGGAAGAGCAACTCCTCTTTAGAAATCAGCGTGGAAGGATGTTAACTGCTGATGTGGTGCTGTTGAAATGCCTGTGAATGTTGCAGATTAGTACATTAGGAGAAAGAAAATATGCTGAAACATATATTTCGTGATTTGTTGCTCCACAAGTCAAGTTTCTACTTAATTATAAGTGTCACTGTCGTAGGTATAATAAGGAATTAGCTATGGCTTTAAAGTTCTAGTTTGGGTTTGTTTTCTCTTAACAGCAAACTATAGTTTTGTTTATAAGCTAAACATAATTGATAAGCAAGAGGAAGACAAATTTTGTTGGTGACTTTTTTATTTTTCGTGAGGTAATTTTGGAGTGTATAAGGAAGTAGTGACAGGCTTAACAATGTATCATAAAGAACTTAAAGGGTTAAAAGTGAAGAACAGCATCAGTGAGAATGACCTTAAAGTAAATTTGCTTTTTTTAAGTGAAGGGTTTGAATTTGCATTTTTGATCTGCTAATTGTTTTGGGTTTTTCCTTTATTGATTTGGCAGTAGAAATAGTGCTTTAGTTTTATTCCGTGCAGAAGGAATACAAATTATTATTGGTTTTGTGATTGAGTTGAAAGTCTCTGTTGCATTTTTTGAGGTATCTTATAGTGACTGCAGATTGTGAGTGTAAGGATGTTTTAAATCATTCTAAAAATGCCTTAACTGCATGACAGTTTATTTTCAAAGCTAGTTGGAAAACAGGGATCTGGGTAGGAATAAACAACCTTCTCTTCAGCACAACTGAATATCGAGAAGACACTGTAAAATTTAATACCTAAAATGTGTCAACTTGTGTTCTAACCAGTGTTTTCTGACAATCCATAGGTCTTATTCCTACTACATTGAGGTGTCCATGGATGAATTAGACTGGATTCGAGTTATTGATCACTCGAAGTACCTCTGTCGGTCCTGGCAGAACCTGTATTTTCCTGCCCGTGTCTGCAGGTTAGTTCATCAATGTAACATTGCATGGCCAACATTAAAGAATGTGGGCACCAGAATAAGTTGCTGGATTTTGCTACTGCATTATATATTTCTAAAAATGTGTTATATACACAACTTTCATCAGCTATCCTAAAATTTTCTATCTTGGTGGATGCTTCTTTAATGTAAATATAGTTGATAAAATGTACTTTTTTACTCTGGTTCTTCCATATCTCCTTTTTTTTTGACTCTGACTCATGCTCTTTTGCAGCTGATAAGATTTTTTTTTTCCACTCAGTAGTAAACATTATTCTTTGACTGCCTAAATGTTTATAATGCATTTACATACTTACTCTAGACTTGGAAATGTATCTTTATATATTTTATATATTTTCTGCTGATGCACTGAGAGACTGTTTTAAAGTTGTGAAAGAGTGAAAGGAGGTTTGAGCAATGCCTTGTGTAACCCAAAATACCTAGATGGATTTAAGCAGTATGAGGGGATGATGGTTTTTTTTACTGTGGGTGCTGGGAATTCTGAAAAAAGCTTATAATCAGATTGAAGCTATTTTATCCAAAAATTGAATCGAGCTCACTGAGGGAGAGGCCACAATCTCTAGATATCAAAGATACTGTTGTCATTAGGTTTTGGGTCATAGGCCCAAGGAGGAAATTACCTGTACTGTGATTGTTTTGGAGACGCAAAGTTTTTATTCGGCACAGCAACTCTTGGAATCCCCAAGGAGGGAAGTGCTTTCTTTTTCCCAAAGAACAACCTCTTTCTCTGATCCTTACTGCTCTGCAGCATTAGATTGCTGGCAAGCAGTTGTGGTCTATGGGGAAGGGGTCTGGTGGGTCACTTGTGTGTCTCTCCTCAGATAAATCTTTCTCAGCCTTGCTGTCCTTTCGTAAAGTTTATACTGAATGTAAGTGACTTGAAATTTGTTTTTCCTTATACAAACAAATACATTCTCACCTTTTCCCTGTAACTTTTTTAATTCTGGTTTTACCATTTTTCTGAAAAAAATGGTGCAGTCCCTTAGTTTGTGTGTGTATTGATAAATTTTTGCTTAAAGATGTCTGTGATAAATCACCTAGCATTGATAAAATGTCCATGAGTTGGTAGGTGTTTTACATTTCCTGGGGGTATTTTTTTTTGTGCGTGACTTTAGCTTCATGCAAATTGGATTGATTCTTAGTATGCACATGGTTTTTTTGCTTCCATCATGTTACCAAGATAATGTCTAGGGACTTTTCTGTTGTGGTGGGACTTCCCTAAATTGTTTTTTCAAAAGGACTGCCATTCTTTGGCCTCATTCAAAGTCTTGTCCAAAAGTGACTATTCTGTTTCAACAACAGTTTATCTGTTTGCCATCCACCCTCCCAGGTGTCTTCATCTGTGTTTGAGTGTGCGTGTGCTGTCTTTTGAGAGTGTCATTGTTCTGTGTTGGTGAAGGCCCTTTGTAGCCTTGCCTGAAAGTGCAGAGAGGGAATAGAGGAGGCGAAAATATTATTCCAAAGTTTTAGAAGATACCTTACGCGTTTTTTTGGCACAGAAGGATCTCTTGTACTTTCTAGCTCTCCAGTGAGCTCCTAATCCTCTGCAAGTGACTTGCCCTCTTTTGGAGGAGCAGATTATCAGGAGGGAGTTCATTTCATATGGTGCTTTCATATACACAGGGATACAATTTCTGCATGCACAAGCACATCTGGGAACCTCCCCCTTGCAGTTTTATTGTAGCACGTATTGGAACTTATATACAGTTATCCAGATATCTACAGCACAAATTTCCTTATCACATAATCCTCATGCCTCAGACTTTTCCTGTTCTGCTTCATGATTCACAGGAAGCATATTCTATTCTATAAATCTCTGTTCCTCATTGTCATATCCACAAAGTGGTGGGGAATTCCTTGGAGGTGCAGCTTCTTTGAAGAACAAGTGAAAAAGTCATGTAGTAGCATAAGTTTGAGTACTTATTGTTAAGGAGCAGTAACCTTAAGGCACTCACCTTAAGGTGAGTTCTCAGTTGAGTCAACACAATAATTCTTGGTTGTTCTGTAATCTCTGCTTACATCAGTGAATTGAAGCCTACACTGTAGTAAGAATGCATTCGCTAGTCAATAGTAAAAGTGGCTATAATTTACTGCTCTATTATGTGTTTTTCCTGTAAATAATAAGAAATTTTACATGTAATTAGAGATGTAAAATTGCTGACAAATTTTTGAGGAGTTGCACTTCAAGAACTTTTTATTTATTTATTTATTTATTCATGTTAATATAGATAGTTAGATCTAACTTGAAGGTTGGCTCTGCTTTGATCTGAAATTTGGACCAAATTCCCTCCAGAAGAGAGGCTTTGAGTAGTGGAGGCTACATACACTTACATATTAGTATTAGAGACTTTTATTTATCTGTCTCTTAATTAATATTCTGTTTAGAAAGAACTAAGGAAAGACTACTAAAGTTTTTCATTTCCAATTTCAGTGTTTTGTGATTATGTTTTTAAAGTAGTTCTGTTTACTTAAATGAGTTAAACTAGTTATTTCTAGGATACTATAACACATAAAATAGATATCTTAAAATGTGTAGCAGTTTTTGTCACCTAAAAAAGGTGTTCTCTAGTGTTTTGAGCACAGACTTAAAATATAATATGTGATTATGTGAGAATTTATTCTTTTGTTATTTGATATTCTGTTTTTACAGATAAGTTATGCATGCTTATCAAAGGGCAGATATGTTTTAGGTGTTTTATATGCCCTGTTTTATCAGCAGATAATAAAAAGAAACTCATTTTTTAAATTTGAAGATGTAAATGCCTGCCCCATTTTTAGAGAAAGACTATAATGTAACTCAGCAAATCACTCGTCTTTACTAGCACTTGGTTAATCAATACATTTTTTAATCCAAAGCTAATTATATTTTCATATTGCTCAATGCTGCTTCTGTTGTATACTCAAGTTAGTGTGGCACGTCCCAGTGCCAAAATGTTCTTGTTGTTGAACAAACAGTACAGAGGACTGGATTGCAAGCATCATGTTTTACTCAGTCTTCCTGCCATTAGTTTTCACATTTATTCCCTTTTTGCCTTAGTAATGCAGATAATATTTTTGGAAACAACCACTTCGGGAACCATGCTGCGATTTTTTAGAGGTTTTTTTTTTTTAGCAGAAGATCATGGACTAAGTGTCTTATCAGTACAGGCTTGAGATAGGTGGCGTTTTGGTTTTTTTCATTTTAAAAAAAAGGTTATTTTAGCCCAAAGTGCTTTATAACATCACTGTATAGGATGACATTTTGAGGAGCAACAAAGAACTGGAGGCTAGAATTACTGGCTGGGTGTTTTTATTCACACACCATTTTTCAAAGGGAGGGAGTAGAACATGTCAGATTCTGTACAGATTGTTGAAGGACAGCCAGTTTGTGTCTGATACACTAGAGCAATTGTTCAAACAGATTATAAAGAGGATATGAGCCCTGTAACATTAGGCAAGGTTAGTTGCCTTTTTGAGTTACCTTCCACATAAATATTAGTTGTAAAAGGTGAGAGCTGTCAAGGACTGAGCTGATGTGTTCATCTAAGTTTTAAGAAGCTACTCAAACATTTTCATGGGTGTAAAAATTGATGTAGTGTGTCTTCTATTTGCATGTATGCCAGCTGAGGTTTTTGTTTCTCTTTGAAAACCTTTAACTTTTTCTCTTAAGCAAATCTATGTTGAAATCTGCAGTCAATGCCTCTTTCACACTAGATAGATGAAAAAAAAATGCACCATTCTGGCAGTTAGTTGTTAAATAAAACAAATAATTTATACCAAAGTGAATTAAGACCAGTTCACCCTCTTTAATGAGTCATGTGTTGTGTGTGTCATAGTCTCTGTCATGACTTTGATTTTTTTGATATATGGGGCATTGTGAAATATTCACAATAGTGTTAGAATTAGAGGCATTATTGCGCTTCCCATGAAAGATAATTTGTACTTGGCAAAGAATGTATCAAACCATCCAAACTAATTAGACAGAGTCAAGTGAGTAACATGATAAGATTATTTACATGCTTTGCTTCTTCGTGTTAGTACTTGCATGCTCCAGCATAAAGGTTCAGAGTAAGTTTTGCCAGCCATAACCTTTGTTAGATTAATAGATGGAAAAAATGGAGGGGCAATAACCAAAGACTGAAATGCTGAAATAAAAAGGAAATGAGAAGATTGTTTATGCTTTCTCACACTCATCAAATGATTTATTTGTTATTTTTAAAATGTAATTCCTGATTTAGATATACAAGCTAATTTGTACCAGGAAGATTATTTATTTGGTATCAAAGCTTAGTACTACAAGTGAGGGATGTTGCTCTACTTAGAGGGCTTTTAGTAAAAAAAAAAAAAGGTAAGTATAATACGTGGGGGTTTTATTGACAAATTGTGTTTTAGACTTTTAATTTTTGCTTTAAATGCTTTTAGAATACATTATCCTACCACCTTTGAAAATTGAACAGCCCTATAGTATGCAGAAAAAGCAACTAAGAGAGTGAGATTACAGGGCAATTTTTTTTTCCTTTTTTTAATACGGTACTGTATTTTTTCAGAATTTCTTTTGGTCCTACTTTCATTGTTTGTGCCTTTATAGCAATTTTCATGCAGAGCTGAAAACTCTTTAGAGGGAAGACAGGACACAGAAAATATTCATGTAATCAGGTTCCTGTCAAAGTTAGGAACATGTGATGAACCCAACATGTGTTGGGTTCATAGTTCTTCCAGCTTCCTCTTGTAACACTGAATGTAATACTGGTAAAGATCTTTGAACAGGTAGTGCTGTTTCCTGTTTTATCCTGCTCACTTTTTTCATCCTTTCATTTTTGTTTTGCATTTTCATCTTTTTACTTTGTCTTAGACCACAAAATATGAAAAAATTCATTAAAAGAATTCAAAGAAAATGAAAAATTTTGAGGTCTCAAAGTAAGTCAAATGTAACCACAAGATGTCACTACAATAAAAGTTTAAAAGTCTTATCTTCTTTCTGTTTA